GGCCAGCGTGCAGTTCAGTGACCCTGAGAGCACTCAGAGTGGCGCAGCCACCGCCACTACTCATTCCCAGAACCTCCTCATCCTCCCAGACGGAAGCTCCGTTCCTTAAACAGTATGGCCCCTTGCGCCCAACCCCACTTTCTGTCTCTGTGAATTTGCCTGCTCCAGGTACCTCACATAAATGGGATCGTACACTTGTCCCTCTGTGACTGACTTATTTCACATAGCCTAGTACTTTCAAGGGTCATCCGTGTTGTAGCAGTATCGAAATTCTGTTCCCTTTTAAGGCTGAGTCATACTAGATTGTGTGTTTGTGTCACATTTTGCTTATCTGTTCATCTATCAACAGGTAACTTGGGTTATTCCATGCTTTGAGTCCTGTGAGCCATGCCGCTATGAAATTGGCTTAACCGTTTTTCAGTGTACTGGTTCGTGCTGTTAGTTGTATTCGCATTGTCAGGCAGCAGAGCTCCAGGACTTTTGTTTTTGCCTTAGAGAACTGATACTGTACCTGTCAAACTGCCTGCTCCCACCCCTCACCCTCTAGCCCCTGGTAACCACCATCTAACTTTCTGTCTCTGTGAACTCGACCGCCTTAGACATCTTATATAAGTGGAATCGTAAAGTATTTGTCTTTTTGTACTGCCTGTCTCACTTAGCTTAATGTCCTTAAGGTTCATCCATGTTGTAGCAGGTGTCAAGTTTTCCTTCCTTTTTAAAGCTGAATAATACTTAGTTGTATGTATGTACCACACTTTGTTTATCCACTCATCTGCCAATTGACACTTGGGTTATTTCCGTCTTTTGGCTATTACGAGCAATGCTGTTACGGACGTGATATACAAGGATCTGTTTGAGGTCCTGCTTTCAGTTCTTTTGGATTTGTGCCCAGCAGTGGAACTGTTAGATCACATGGGAGTTCTATTTACTATCTGAGGAGCTGCCATGCTGTTTTCCAAAGCAGTTGCACCATTTTACTGTCCCACCAGCAGTGCACCAGGACCCAGGTTTCTCCACTTGCTCACCAACACCTGTTATTTTGTGTTGTTGATAGTAGCCATCCTCTTGGGCCTAAGGTGATATTTCACTGTGGCTTTGATTTATAAATGAGGCACCTGTTGTTTGTTCTGGAATACTTGTTCCCTGTCTGAGCTTGTCTTGCACCTCTGGTCCCTTAACTGACACCTTTGGTCTTTTACAAAGACTCCGACTTCCTTGGCCTTCACTGTGGAAGCTCCAGTGCCTGGTAGGGAGCTGACTGTGCAGGGCATTGGAGGCCAAGGGAAGGAATTGAAGATGTGTTCTCAGTCTGCATTTAGAATATGCCGCAGACTGAGGGATAAGGCCACTCATGTGGGGTGAGTGGTGATGAGCGTGTGGTATAAAGCGGCAGCATTGACAGGGCACCCAGAGGATCTGTTCCTGTTGGCCACCGTCATCCTGTGAGGCCCTGAACCAGGAACACTGACAAAAGACAGCCAGGTGTCACTGATCACTAGTGGGGCTTGTGTAAAACCTGTGGGTAGCAGGCAGGAGTGTGTGGGGCTCATCACCAGCCTGTGTGATATGCACCGGGCTTCCTAAGACCAAGGAAAATATCTGTTGTCCTGAGTGTGAACAGAAGATGGCCCTGAGCTGCAGTCTGCATGTTAACTTAAATGCCTCCCTCCGTCTTCCTGGTGCTCTGTCCTGCACTTGCATCGTGGTGTCTGTGGTTACTTTCCCCAGGGTGGTGGTGGACAGCTGGGAGAGAGGGCTATGACTTTTGCCATATACACCTGGGAGCTCCCAGAGTTGAGAGTCAAGTGTTCATCTCTGTACCCTGCTTCTAGCCCAAGGCCAGGGCTCAGCAGCTGGTTCAAGAATGAGAAAGACTAATCAGATCCCTACACTTTCCTCCTGTTCCCTGTAGCCCAGCATACTCAGGACCCAACCTGGTGGCACCTTCTCCAGGCCTGCTGTGAAGGCCCCTCAGCAGTCATGTCCAGGGTGATCATTGCATCAGGTGTGGCTGTGCTAGGGAGATCCTTATGAATGGCTAAACAGAGGCATCTTCCTTCCTCACCCCACTCAGGAGCACTTACTCATGCAAGTAATTCAGGAGTGTGTGTTAGCTCCAGCTCAGGGTACCAGGAAACCCGGCACCTCAAGCTAAATGATCATTTGGAGAAACTTCTCCAGTTGTTACCCTGGAATTAACACACATTTCCACAGCATGCATGGGCACTCAGGAGCACCACTCCTGACTCTGGACCTCTTTGTCCTGAGTTAGTGGTGGGCACCTACCCTCCGTCTCCAGAGCACTTGCGCAGCGGAGATTGTCCTCCTGTTGTCTGCAGCTCAGCGTCCGACCCATATTGAGGACAGAAAACATAAGGTGCGTGCAAAACATCTGCTGTTGACAGTCTGTGTTTCTAGTCTTGTTGGCTCTTAAATATGTAATGATGTGTTTAAATTTGCTCACTTTAAAAATAGCTTGTGACGGCCTATCCTGTGTTGGAGATAAAGTGAGGAGAAAGATCAAAGTCCCTTCTTTCTTGAAGCTGACACTTGAGTAGAGATGACCCACACCTACATCAGAGCAGATAGTGATACTTGCCGTGAAGAAGAGAGGATCACAGGACAGGGGCTAAAGGGCAAGAGGTGGAGCCCCGTGCCTCAGACAGAGAGGAGCTTGGTGAGGAGGTGGCATTTGAGCTGAGAGACGAATGTAAGAGGAGATTTGGGTGGAAATCACCCTCAGCAGAGGAAACAACAAAGGAAAAGGGAGTGTTAGGGCAGACGGGAGATTGGCACCTTCCAGGGATGGAGAGGAAGCAGGAGTGTGAATCTAGCATAGTGATGAGGCAGAAGGTCAGCAGAGGAGACAGGGACCAGTGAGACCAGTGGTTCCCACCCCGAACGCACGCTGCAGTTATCTGATGAGCCTAAAAAACTTTTCCAGTGCCGAAACTCCTCCCCTGAAGATTGTGATCTAACTGGCCTGGGTGGGGCCTGGACACTAGTGTTTAATAAAGGCTCCCCCACGAGTTCCATGGTACAGCCTAGGTTGAAACATCAACAGCGTTGATCATGCAGTCTTACAGACTCTGGTAAGGAGTTTAGACTTCAGCTGAATGAAGGGGAAGCCATATAATGGTTTAGGCCATGGTCTGGCTTATGCCCTTAAGAGACTCACTTTGGCTACGGTGTAGGGACTAGAGGTGGGAGGTTGTTCAGATGGTTCAATGGAGAAATGATGGTGCCTTGGACCAAGAGTGGTGTCAGTGAAAATGGTCCGAAGAGGTCAGTTTGGGGGTGTGTTTTAGAGGTTGCAGTCACAAGATGGATTGGGTTTGGGGTGTAAAGCACAAGAAAATTGAGATGTCATGAGAGTTAACCAGAAAAACTGGGTGGATGATATTGCTACTCACAGAGCTGGGAGAGATAGAGAATACAGTTTGGAGAAGAGAGGGAATCGTTGTGTTCATTGGTTGCAGTGAAAGGATCAGACTTCTCTTCTGTCTGGATTTAGGTACTTGTAGATATAGGGCCAGAGAAGGCAATGGCACCCCACTCCAGGGCTCTTGCCTGGAGAATCCCAGGGACGGGGGAGCCTGGTGGGCTGCTGTCTATGGGATCACACAGAGTCGGACACAACTGAAGTGACTTAGCAGCAGCAGCAGATATAGGGCTTCCCTGTAGATATCTGGGCTTCCCTGGTGGCTCAGTGGTAAAGAATCTGCCTGCAAATGCAGGAGACACGGATTTGATCACTTGTTCAGGAAGATCCCCTGGAGGAGGAAATGGCAACTCACTCCAGTATCCTTGCCTGGGAAATTACATGAACAGAAGAGCCTGACAGGCTACAGTCCATGGGATCACAAAAAGGTGAATGCAACTTAGCTAAACAACAGATATAAGCTGTCAAATAAAGTTGAACAAAATATTGTGAGAAATCCTCTTATTGTACTGCTGAGAGTTTCTTGAAGCCTTCTACGGGTAAGTATCAAAGGCAACTGGCTGTTTTATTGCATGGAACCAGTGACGAGAAGGGAAGAGGAGGGAAGTATGAAGACCTGAGGCTTCTTTCATGGATGTAAGGGAAAGGTATCCTTTGGTAAATTACTATAGTTAACAGCTGTCTTGCTATAAGAATTGAATGGTGTAGTGATACACAGAATCCAAAATAGGCTGAGATATTAATATTTGTATTACATTTGACTTTAAGGGGATTTTTCCCCCAACAAAAAATATCTTTTAAAATATGTCTAGTTCACATTAAGATTATAATTAATTTTCTTTTCCTAACCAGGCCTTCAGTATCTCACAATTAAAAATAATCCAGATTTTAAAGTCAGAATCAAATTATTAGAATTGCTTACAAGGCATTCACATGGAGGACAATGTGGAATTTGTTAAAACAGTTTGTTTTTCCTCTGATGGAAGAAAGTGGTATAAATTGCAATGGTAAAGCCTGTTGACTGGTTACATCAGTCAGAAGAAAAAATCCTGATTATAAGCTGACTGAGGGCACAAACTGTTTCTTATACAGTTTCTGTTCTTAAAAAAAAACAACACCAACAAAATACCTAGTGTCTCTGCTCTCGGGTTTGTTGTGTTATTTAGTAGTTTTCAGATCTTTTTAGCTAAAACTCTTTCTGAAATCAGTCCTTATCTGAATGACTGAGCAGGAAGGTTGACCAGAAGTCCCACAGCCCCTGGGCCATTTCTTCATTCTTACTAGAGAAATTTGAGATGTAGCTGCCTTTGAGTGAAAAATGAGAGAATACAGCATGGCATGGCTGTCTAGAAAATGGCCATGGTCTGAAACTCCTTAATAAAGCGTTTGCATTGGCCTCAAAAGGTCAGGAGCCTGGAAGGTTAGGCTGCGTAGTGTTAAACTTTGGCGTCCAGCTGCACTGCCGTCCATTGTGCCTAAACGGGTTCTTCTCCATAATCAAAACAGAGAGCACTCATGCCCGTCTTCCTGCTTAACTCATGTCCACATCCGCTTGCAGATAACTGCAGTGACCTGAACTCAGAGCTGCAGAGGGTGCTGACGGGGCTGGAGAACGTGGTCTGCTGCAGGAAAAAGAGCAGCTGCAGCCTCTCGGTGGCGGAGGTGGACAGACACATCGAGCAGCTGACCACGGCCAGCGAGCACTGTGACTTGGCCATCAAGGTAGGACCCCCCTCCCCACCCCTCTGTGCGACTCTCAGATCATCTGAGGGAAATGATCAGATTCCTTTCATCTGAAGTGCTGTTTTTCTCGAATATCTATTAGGGGGTGGGTATTTCTAAAAAGGCCTTTCTAAAGATTGAGCCACCAGGGAGAAGCCGGAGCCCTGTACATTTTTGCTGGGTTGAATCATATCCAAGAAAGGCATTTGATCAATAGTTAAGATCACTGTCTTTGCTGCAAAAATGACTACTTCCCTGGAAGCTATGAGACTTAATAGTATTGAACCACGTCATTTTAGTGTGGTTCCTCATACAGCGCTCTGAAGTTGTAAGATTAACTTGGAAATTTTATTACAGCTTTCAGGCTTCTAGAATGTTATTTCTAGAGTTATCAATTCATGGTGCTAACAAAGGGCCTGAATGAGTCATCTATCCTGAACATATTAGGTTGGGCCTCAGTCCCGCCTTTGCTGTGCATATCACCTTGGGCTCAGATGGTAAAGAATCTGCCTGCAGTGATACAAGGAGGGAGACCCGGGTTCAATCCCTGGGTAGGGAAGACCTCTGGAGAAAGGAATAGCAACCCACTCCAGTATTCGTGCTGGAGACACCAACAAAATACCTAGTGTCTCTGCTCTCGGGTTTGTTGTGTTATTTAGTAGTTTTCAGATCTTTTTAGCTAAAACTCTTTCTGAAATCAGTCCTTATCTGAATGACTGAGCAGGAAGGTTGACCAGAAGTCCCACAGCCCCTGGGCCATTTCTTCATTCTTACTAGAGAAATTTGAGATGTAGCTGCCTTTGAGTGAAAAATGAGAGAATACAGCATGGCATGGCTGTCTAGAAAATGGCCATGGTCTGAAACTCCTTAATAAAGCCTTTGCATTGGCCTCAAAAGGTCAGGAGCCTGGGAGGTTAGGCTGCGTAGTGTTAAACTTTGGCATCCAGCTGCACTGCCGTCCATTGTGCCTAAACGGGTTCTTCTCCATAATCAAAACAGAGAGCACTCATGCCCGTCTTCCTGCTTAACTCATGTCCACATCCGCTTGCAGATAACTGCAGTGACCTGAACTCAGAGCTGCAGAGGGTGCTGACGGGGCTGGAGAACGTGGTCTGCTGCAGGAAAAAGAGCAGCTGCAGCCTCTCGGTGGCGGAGGTGGACAGACACATCGAGCAGCTGACCACGGCCAGCGAGCACTGTGACTTGGCCATCAAGGTAGGACCCCCCTCCCCACCCCTCTGTGCGACTCTCAGATCATCTGAGGGAAATGATCAGATTCCTTTCATCTGAAGTGCTGTTTTTCTCGAATATCTATTAGGGGGTGGGTATTTCTAAAAAGGCCTTTCTAAAGATTGAGCCACCAGGGAGAAGCCGGAGCCCTGTACATTTTTGCTGGGTTGAATCATATCCAAGAAAGGCATTTGATCAATAGTTAAGATCACTGTCTTTGCTGCAAAAATGACTACTTCCCTGGAAGCTATGAGACTTAATAGTATTGAACCACGTCATTTTAGTGTGGTTCCTCATACAGCGCTCTGAAGTTGTAAGATTAACTTGGAAATTTTATTACAGCTTTCAGGCTTCTAGAATGTTATTTCTAGAGTTATCAATTCATGGTGCTAACAAAGGGCCTGAATGAGTCATCTATCCTGAACATATTAGGTTGGGCCTCAGTCCCGCCTTTGCTGTGCATATCACCTTGGGCTCAGATGGTAAAGAATCTGCCTGCAGTGATACAAGGAGGGAGACCCGGGTTCAATCCCTGGGTAGGGAAGACCTCTGGAGAAAGGAATAGCAACCCACTCCAGTATTCGTGCTGGAGAATTGCACGGACAGAGGAGCCTGACAGGGTACAGCTCCTGGGGTCACAAGGAGTCGGACACGACTGAGCGGCTTTGACTCGCTGACTCACCTTAGTTCTTAGGGAGCACCAGGTGAGAATTTGCTGTATCTGCACAAACTCACCTTGAACCGTGGGAACATCAAGTCCTCTGGATGCAGGGCCTCTGGTACCTTTATATTACTTCCCCAGAGCTTCGTGACCCAGGCATCTCATTTCACACTGAGAAGTCTGAAAGGAGCCTGTGTCAAGGGGAAATGTGATGTTACCCGTAAAATGTTTGAGGACGAAAGGCCCAGCACTCTGTCAGCAGGAATCCTGGATTTCACAGAAGAGCTGTGGTGTCTTGAGGTAAACCATGATTCACATTAATATTACGTCTGGCTTCCCATCTTCATTCATCACACTTATAAATATATAGCTGATGTGGTTTGGGGAAGCAGCCCCTAGTGTTTTTCTTTCTGGAATCTCCAGGCCCTGTATGTGATTGTAATGTCAGCTTGGGTACCAGCCCCAGCCTTAGCATCAAGGGGAACAGGAAGCCATGGGTTTCTGCCAACCAGCAAGGGACAGAGCAGGCCCTGGAGCAGGAGTGAGTAGGGCAGAAGTCTCTGACTTGAGAGGAAGGACAAAGCACTGCATGTGGAAAGTGGGTACCTGTCCTCAGCATGACACCCTCTGCTTGCTAAGTTGCTCAGTCGTGTCCGACTCTTTGCGACCCCATGGACTATAGCCTGCCAGTCTCCGCTATCCATGGGATCTCCAGGCAAGAATTCTGGAGTGGGTAGCCGTTCAGTTTTCCAGGGAACATCCTGACCCAGAGATTGAACCCGTCTCTTACATCTCTTGCATTGGCAGGCGGGTGCTTTACCGCTACAGCCGCCTGGAATGCCCTGCACCCTTAGGCCGCTCATTTTTGAGACCTATTTCATGTCACATCTCTTCATTGCCTTCTACCCCGACGTGGTAATTCCACAGCTTCTTTCCAAATCATTTGGCATGTGCTTCCTTTTCCAAAGGACAATAATCACGAATGAATAGTTTCTGAAAGCAAGCAGAATGAGTGCTTCCTTTTCTTCAAATTTATATGTTTTCAGTGAATTTTTAAAAAAACTGTCCAAGTACTATCAAGATCCTATTCTTTTTAAGCTCATAGCTGTCATGTTAATTAAATCCCTGCTGTCTTAGAAACCTCCACAATGAGTTCCCTCTTTTCTGTGTCACTGAGGTTTATTTTCATCTTTCGTATCTTGGGACTGAAACTCATTCACACCTTCTGGTTCTGATATGACCCTAAAACCTGGAAATGGTGATGTGACCCATTGTATTGCTGAGCTGGAACATGGGAAACCTGTGATTTAGGAAATTTCAAGTTAGATCTTGTCTGTAGTCTGCAACTTCGCCTTTGCTTTACAGGATCACTAACTGGCTTGCCATCTGGTTATGTGTATTCACTGACTCTGGAACGTGGGTGAAGGAGATAAATGTCTGTGTGGCTGTTTGCACTACAGACAGACTTAAATACCAGGAAGAGACTGTGTTTTTCTCATGAGGGGAGACTGCCGGGGAACACAGACCATGACCCAGGCCGTGACAGAGCCTCTTCTGAAAATGGGGATAGGGTGACTGGGGGATCGCCCGCAGTGAAATGACCGTGGAAGCCCCCCTCCGCGGACACTCGCCCGCGGCTAGCCTGTGTTCCCCTCTGCCCCCTTTCCCAGGGAACTGACTTGCCTCGTCTCCGTGGCCCTGTTTTCCAGACAGTGGAGGAGATCGAGGGGGTCCTCGGCCGGGACCTGTACCCCAGCCTGGCAGAGGAGCGGTGCCGGTGGGAGAAGGAGCTGGCGGGGCTGCGGGAGGAGAACGAGAGCCTGACGGCCATGCTGTGCAGCAAGGAGGAGGAGCTGCACAGGACCAAGGCCGCCACGAACGCCGTCCGGGAGGAGCGCGACCGGCTGCGGCGGAGGGTGAGCGCGCCGGGCCCGGGGCGGGGCCTCGCAGGCGGCTGCCCCGCCGAGGGCGCCCTGAGGGTTCCTCGTCTGTGAATCGCCGTACCTTTCTGGGTATGCGGTCAGTCATTCTTGAGAGTCATCTGAAAGTGCTGAGGCGTGCAGGTAGGATTTGTTTTCAACCTCTGCAATCAGCAGATCTTCGTGGATGCTAAAATTGATCCTGGCACAGTGATTCTCAGCCATTCTCTGGGTACTCACGTCTTCCCCAAGCTCAGATAAAAGGTTCTAACTTTAAGGCAGGCAAATAATTTATAATTTGCAAAAATATAAAGAATTTCCACTTTGCAGTTTCTTCTGATCATGTTTCTTTAGATTTATAGTACCTGCTCTCATATATCCATACTGAATCTAATATGAAATGTCCTTTAGACTCATTAAAGTTAACGTGAAAAAGTCACTCAGTCGTGTCTGGCTGTTTGCGACCCCATGGACTATACAGTACATTGAATTCTCCAGGGCAGAATACTGGAGTGGGTAGCCTTTACCTTCTCCAGGGGATCTTCCTGACCCAAGAATCAAACTAGAGTCTTCTGCCTTGCAGGCAGATTCTTTACCAACTAAGCTATCAGGGAAGCCCATTAAAGCTAATAATCCTATATATATATACATCTGTGTATGTGTATGTTCTGAATGTGTATGTGGAATTCCTGGTAGTCACCTCTGCCTGCTAAATGGCCCTATGACCCAAACAGGTTTGAGAACCACTTTGTTTGGTGGTTGGTTGGAAATACAACCATTACTAAAGGAGTTGATGTTTCAGGATAAAAATGTTTGGCAGAGTTGTTAAGCACTCACTTTTCCAAAGATAAAGTTTTTTCTTTGGAACCCACAAGTATTCTTTGTTTGACTATTAATTTGATCTGCCATTGGACTGGAGATGAAGCAATGAATTCTTCCATCAGAAACAGTTCCCTTTGAACTTTGAGTTACTAGGCCTGCTCTACTCTTTCTCCATTGTGGCAGAATTAGACTTGCTTTCTCTTGTGCGATGACTGGTGATTTTGCACACAGAGGAGGAAAAAAATACATCTTGGTCTTACCATCGCTCTTTAACTTGCTTCACTAAGATCAGAGTGTCTACATCATTCTGTTTTTAATCCCCACACAGTTTTCATACTTGCCATTGTGTATGAATATGAAAGAAAGCCCTAGTTTTGAATGTTATCAACTCTTTTCCTCATTTGTGGCTATTGCCAGCATTTCCTAATGCTCATATCTGAATGTTATTTTGTCTAAACTCACATGCATAAGCTTATTTTCAGAACCCAGCTGTATCGGATGCTAATCCTGGCAACGGCAGGTGTAAATCATTGCAGTCAGCGAAGACTTTATCTGGGCAAGCTGAGGACATTTACTTAGTGTTAAGGCCCACAGCACATGTAATTTCCTGGGTTGCACTCCCTGATCATTATGACTAATGCCCTAATTAGGTGTGCTTGCTTTTAGCACGCACATTCTGTTGGTGCTTACTTTGTGAAGGAAATGTTGGTCTTAGGCCTAATTACATATTGTGGTTTAGAATAAGTTTCCTCCTTGAACTTGAGACACTAAAGCACAAGTCAGCACTTGATTATGACTAGCAAAGGAGAAAAAACCAGTTTCCCTTCATTGAGTATTTTCTCCAACTCTGGAGGTCAGTCTTAAGGACAGCATAGTCTAATGGTATCATACTCTGTACCAGGGCTCAGTGACTGCTTGGGGTCACAGCTTGAACCCCAAAGCCACTGTGAGTTTCTGGGAAGTTAACCTATGCTCTCTGTGCCTCAGTTTATTCTTCTATGAAATGGGGATAATAATAGTACCCAGTGCGGGAATACTACGTAATCCTCATGAATCATCTAAGCACTTGACTGATGCATGGCACATAGCAACTGTTCAAAATCTACCAGTAATTGTTTGGGGTGAAGTCCAGAGTTACCTGTTTAGTCATCTGGAAAGATTAACACCATACCACCTTTTTTCCCTAAGAATCCGTATAGATTTGAATTCTTAGATGGACATTGAATAACTGCACATACACACAGATACACATACATTGTACTCAAAACTTTTATTCTGATCACATTTATTATCTTGTAGGTTCTGTAGTTAATACAGTTTTATATAAATGTATATGTTTATATTTTAATTACCTCCAAATAAAAATATATTAGGGAACTTATATCTTTTCCTCAACTGCAAGTTCCCAGTTTGTATATACCCATGAATTTGATTTATTTTTGTTTATTCCAAGACAGTTGTGGGTGTCGGAATTTGCTCAATGCCTTTAAATGCCAGTTTGCTAGATTTTAAATGCTGGGTGACTTCTACCTACCATGACCCAGTGTATTTTATTTCCCTGAGGAGAAATCTGCCTTTTGTGGTTGGTTGTCTTCTCTTCATGATGTAGAGCTCTGAGGAATGACTAAGGTTTGGTTTCAGTTCCATCCTTGTCGTTCCACCTGATAACATGGCTGGTTTGCCTTTGCTGTCTTTCTAGCCACTCAGAATCCAGAGTTCATCAAATTTGCCTGGAAAACAGGTTTTTTTTTTTTTTTATCGCCCACATTCTTTGTATAGAATTTGAACTGATTAGATCAATAGGATTGATGCTTACCCCCTTGCCTGTAATTAAACAAAGTGCTCTCAGTAGGTTTTCTGAGCCTTGTACATGATTTAATTAAATTAGACCTCTAATGTCAGCAGATTGGGCTACTTGGCAGAGCAGTAACTAAGGAACAACAGGCGGACAATTTTTATTATTGGTCCTAGCTCATTATTAAATGAGATAATCATTTATTTCTGCATGCTCTGTAATAGAACCACTCATTTCCTCATGCATAAAGAAGTGAGTTTAATTTAGGCAAAGTAAAATTAATTACTCTACAAAGGGAAGCACTTGGCTCTTCTTTCATTTATGCATTTTGTAAACATGACTGGTCGTCTGCTCTGTGCCGGGCAGAGGGAATACACTGATGAACGGGATACAGAAGGAGACACTCATGCGGAAGGAGTCTTATGGGTGTGAGCGTCCAGCCCAGTCCTCCTTGGGCCCCTGTGCACACACAGGTGTGGCCCTCGTCCCGTGAGCTTGCCTCCTGTGGTGATGTACTCAACATCCTCTGTGTGAGCCCCAGATCCACTCCTAGAGCCATTAGTTCTGGATCCACTGGTGCCTGTTTCTGACTACCGCACTGCTTCTGAACACCCAGTGAATCCACCTTCAGTATTCACCCAAGTTACCTCCAAGGGCACTTGGCAATCAGTGTTCATGCTTAAAGGGGCTAGAGAGAGAGGAGTCTAAATTAAATGAAAAAGCCTCCTGAGAAAGATTAATGACCTTAAAGGTTGACCATGTGTTTTATTATATCCTTCTTTCTACTAATTAATTCATGTATAATATATACTTGTTATTAGGCTGCCCACCCCTACTGGGAGATAAGATGCAGAGCGTCAGGCTGAGGTGTCCAGGGCCTGGTCTGCCTCTGAAACAGCCATTCACTGCATCTGATTTACCTCCCATTGTAGGCTACCAGGGGCTTCCCTGGTGGCTCAGTCGGTAAAAAATTCGCCTGCAATGCAGGAGACCTGGGTTCGATCCCTGGGTTGGGAAGATCCCCTGGCAGAGGGCATGGCAACCCACTCCAGTATTCTGGCCTGGAGAATCCCCATAAACAGAGGACCCTGGCAGGCTACAGTCCATGGGGTCGCAAAGAGTCGGACACGCAGGACTGCAAAAGAGTACTACTTCATGTTTACTGTGAATTTTATTTATATTACAGTGAATGTAGATCAATTTCATAATAGTTATGGGGGCAGGGGGTGAGGACCTACCTAGATCAAAGGGTACTTGAACACTTTTACAGTGCTGTAGTTTATTTTTCTAACATGTATTCTTACAGTTAAGTGTTTAATATACAGAAGTAGATACATAGAAGTAGAAGGGGAGCTAATACACTAAAATATTAAGTGGCCAAGTCTAGGCCGTGAAGAGAGTCATATATTTTCTTTCTACTTTTCATTAATTTTCAAATTGAAGAAACAGAAAGTAAAATATGAATTATGGAATGTGATCGACATCTCCCAGCCTTAATAACTTGATATCCACACAGAAGCAGTTATTCTCTTTTGTCCTTGATGGAAATTTGTTCATATCTTACCTTTTCTATTTCCTCTTAGGAGTTTCTTTATATGAGGAAGAAGATGCCGATATTAGCTAAGTTCAAATTCATAAAATATTTATTAAAGAAAAAAACAAAACAGCAACCCTGAGCTGAGAGGAGGGCAATCTGGTCCAGTCTTCTCCTTCCGCCTCAGTTTGGGGGTCCTAGCTGGCTCTTCTTCCATGTGACTGGAGAGTCTAGGATACACAATGCTAACAAACTAGCCTTCCAAATGAGAAGCTTGTCTCCTGACTGCACTGCATATCCAGTGCAGGTCTGAGGCTGAGCACGCAGCTCTGCTCCATGTGTTCCCTCGGGAACCCAGGGTGATGATAGCCTGTTCCCTAAAACATCGGTTGAACAGACTCCTCCTCATCTGAATGCTCTGTTCACAGCCCATGGACCAGAGCTAGACAGATGCTCCATCTCACTGGAGAGGGGCTGAGAAATAGGAAGGAGCAGTGTGTTGAGCAGTAAATGTTCCAGGTGATTGATTTGCTCTGAGTGTGATACCAGGTAGACTTGAACGGGAATGCAGGTGCCAGAGAATCAGGCAGTTTCACGCATCCATCCTGGGGTGGCTTGGAACATGTGTGACGACATCATTGGGAAACTCTTCCAAAGGATAGATGCTCAGGCCCTTCCGTGAGCTATGAATCAATGAACGGGCTGTAGGACCCTCACACACTTCCCCATTGTGATCCCAGCAGAACCCAGACAGTAAACGGAAGGCAGTATCCTTCAGTCACCCGCTGTGTGTGTTCCAAAAGCCTCTCCAGACATCTTTACCTGCTCCCCCACAGGTGGAGTGAA